TCAAGTGCAGGGAACTCCTAAGAATCACTAGGTCAATGGTGAGACTTCAATACCAAGCCAAGAAATTCTAACATGGTAAAACATAGAACATTGGCAATATAGAGTTTCCTTATTAAACGATTCTCTGCCGTAAGGAATTATTACCTTCCTTTTCCAAAGAGGACTATTTACAGAAAGAATTTACTTTAATCCGATGTGAATATAATATATATTTACATTATATGAAGAATAATCGATAATATAATATTAACACGATATTGTTTATTTAAACCGTAATAAAGTAAGTCCCGATAAATGCAAATATTGGAACTGGAAGGAATTCAAATCGTTTGGAGCGTATTATCTGACCAAGACAAACTCTTGACGCAGCCGAAAATCGAGACGGAAATCTGACTTATAAATCGACAAATGAATAGTTTGGCAAAAGATCCATGTTCCCAATTATTTGTCTCACTTTTGATCTTAGGTCGAACATCATGTCGTGTTGCAACCAATCCATTTCATTTTTGTGCTTCAATGTTTAAGTCTTTGATTCGCCGTAAAACACGCGCGGCTTGGAATAACCAGCAGGCGTAATGGGAAGTTTCCTCTGATATTCTGCAGATTGACATAATCCACGCAGCTATCTTTCACTTCCTGGCAAACAGACCTAATGGAAATGAATTAATTCAATTCAAACATTCGTTTCGATTTGGTTATCAGATAATTCAAAACTTACTTATGAATGCTAACTTTTACGCTTGCCTCCAATCATTCGTCAAACATGCTCTCAAAGAAGTCGTCTTCTGCTGTGGGCAGTGGTTGTTCCTGTTGCTGCACACACTGATTATGATAATACTCTGTTCTATCCATCAATACACTCACAGCTCTTTGAAATGCACTATTAGTAGAAGTAGTCGATTGTTCTGATAATCCAAGGCATGATGAGGTATCGGTGATAATATAATTCGTCGACAACAAAGGAGAAGGTGTAGTTGACCGTATTGATTTTTCTTCATCTGAGCTAAAGATATCTTCAAAATCGTCAAAGCTTGTACAATTAATTTCGTGTTCCTTATCTGAAAATTGTCGTGATGACCAAAAATTATGGTCCATATTTTCTCTTGTTTGGCATCCTTCATTTTCTTTCATGTTAAGTATTCCGGGCGAACCAATACTATCAGACCACAAATCGTCGTCATCTTCCTTGTCATCATTACCGTTCTCGTCGTCATCGAATTGACATTTTTCGTTTTCCACTATAAAATCATCGTCTGTATCCAACAAATCGAAAATCGATTCATTATCGTTATTTTCTTTAATGATTTCCTGGCTCGATTCATTCCCAAATAAATCATTAAATTCCTCATCATCAGACTCGTTTTGAAAACTACTTGATAGCACTTCAACAATCTCTATAATTTCATCTTTAGAGGATGAAGTTTGAGGTTCTGCGATTTTTGTCGATCTCAATTCGAGGGTTTGGTGGCTATTCTCCTTTACAGCCAATTCGTAATCATCATTTGATACTTCCTCCTCGCTTGAAGACTTTAGAAAAGTAAAGGGAAAGAATCAAAAGATTAAATAAAAGATTAAATGATTAGTCATCAACTATTGATTACCTCACGAAATAATACGGTTGGTACTTTTAAATTATTAGCGGCTGTATATAATGCATCACCCAAGAGATCCTTTATCGATATTTGCGTGTCAGTTGTGGATAATGACAAATCGAGGTTATTTCGGATTTCCTATGAAAAGAAACAATAAATGATTTTTATGCGTAGTTAGAAGAAATATACCGAAAATTACAATTGAGAATTATAATTACCTCGATATATTCGGCCGTTTTTGACTGAAATTCAGCGTTTGGACTATTTTGAATTATATTGGTAAGGGAATTCGAAATATCGGGAATATATTTTGTGATTGTTTCTAACTTCTGTTAAATTTAATAGAAAATCAATGGATTTGATTTCTCTCGATCGTAACTATTACGAGAATCTTTCTTACGGTTTGATAGGTCGGGGAAAAAATTAATGGATATCTTTCAACCAACAGATTCCGCATTAAACTTCGGAACGCAATATCTATCGCCATTATTTCCAATGCAGCAAACTCTCGTTTCTTACTCTCCAATTTTTTGCGTAATGATACTACGTGTGTAAATCGGTAGCATGTGTTAAGGAATAAGTATAAATCTCGTGTTTAAGAGACATCGATTCATCGAATCAACAAGGATATCCGTTGCCACCCAATTAAAAGCAAAAGTCAATTGAGATAGAGTTCCAAAAGGTCGTCGGTCAGAAGCATGTGGAACGCAGCAATTTTCAAATGCAAAAACCCAATAGCCTAGAATCCGAATTTTTCGTCAGAATTCGATTTTTTGAATCGATCGCGCGCGACAAAGGACATCCGAACACTCACGTTTATTGTATTGCCTTTTTTGTTCGACGATCGGTGAAATATTCGAGAATCCAAATTTTTTCCATATCTTTAATTCGAGAATGCACTATCGAATTACTTCAATTGACTAAGAATCATCTAAAGCGGAAATTGATTTGAAATACCTCAGAACGACACATTCTCTTTAAAATGAGATTTTCTTTTTTCGAATTAAGACTAAACAATTTACCATCAATTCTGTTTATTAAGTGTTATGATGAGCAAACAAGCCTAGTCAAGGCATTGAAAGTAGGAAATACGCGTTGTAAGAAACAAATGGCCTCTCGCCCGACAAAAAAAGGATATATTAACACAAAATTTTCCGTTCGACATGGTCACCTCCATTTTGTCAATGTCACTTTCGCAGAGTTTTTGCACTTTAGGAGGTAATTGAACGTTATATTGAATTTGTTGTATGCAAGTGACTTTAAGTATGTAAAAACTCCGTGGTTGTGAAGAAGAAGAAGAAGCGGTATTTGGAGGCTTTAGACTGTCGGAGGTTAGTGAAATTGTCGAAATTCGTTCGACTGTGTGGTTTGGGAGCGTCTGCGTCGCGACGTCTTGCTTGTGCGACATAGCTGCGGCGAAAAGAGAAGAGAATTTATTGAGATATCATATCTTATTGCTGTTAATATGTTAAAATAAACTTTTCAGAACGAGTAAATTAAGGTATGATAAATTAAATCATCAGCATTTATTTGACATTGAGAAATTATTATCGTTATAAATGCGCGTTTAATGAAGAAAATGATAGCATTAAAAAACATCAAGGGTCAATTTTTACATGGAATTTAAAATTTAACGTTAATAAATCCGTCCTAATACAAAATAGCTCGATTTCCAGTAAGATATCGATATATAATCTATCTTGGTGAACAATATAAAAACTTTGTACCCATACCTTACTCCCTTTAGTAATAGTATCAATGTAACTAGACAAAACAAACATGAGTCGACGAGTTTCCCTCGTTACTCACTCATAATTTCATCACCGTCCGCCAACAACAATAATTCGTATTGTCTCTGCTTATTCGCTAAACATTATCGAAAAAAATGTAGGTCGGCGTAGAATTAATCCTACATATGCTTAGTGACGAGAATCATTGACAAAATCTCAGTCTCATTCTATTGTGTATCTGTGACACGGATGATTAACAAGGATGTTATAACCTTGCAACTTGTGGATCGTGCATATTAAAATGGTATATATCGATATCATACACGCTATCCAATCTACTGGTGCGATGCGATGTATATCGGTGAATAAGCGATTGATACCGTATATTCCCAATAATATTGGCCGGTTCAAAGTCAAAATTCAAAAGGCCATCTGTATCGGTATATAATGATTGGTTAGTATTAGATCGATATTTTACTTGCTAAAGTGAAAATTCAATGTTTGTTTGCAAATATGCACATGTGGGAATAATTTTTTTTTTTGAAGAAAAAAACAAATTTTGAGCCCAAAATGGGAATTTTAATATTATCTAATATTAGTATTTAGTATTCATGTGTTTATCCTAAAATCAAGAAAAACATTTCTCTGAGTTGGAACAATTAACCCACGGAACATTTTTACCATTCTTGGCGACCATTTTATTCTATCCTTTTTTTTTTGTTATCATAGCAAATAACCGAGTCATAAGAAAATAAGAGCGACGCAGAAACGGGAATGAATAAATCGAATACTAAATAAAGAGAAAAGATCATCATCGTCCCTACCATTTATTAATATTGATGCTTCTATTTTAAAACCAACCATACATAAATACACTTACACTCGCACATTTCACCTTACCTTTTTACACAAACACACTCTCCCCAAATTCGGCAGTTTTAAACATTTATTATGATATAAGAGAGATAGTTTTCAAATATACCGCGCATCCTTTGAACATTGTCTTTTCTCGCTGATTTTTCGCTCGTAGTAATTAAAACATTGGTATCAGTTAATAATGAATCTATCCAAAGATGATCCCCAAAAAACGATATACAGCACATTCATCACACCGTTACAATTCACCCTTTTAATAACATTCATAGACTTTCCAATATTTACAGCATACTTTCTACTGTTAACAGGCATAATACTTGATCAGATACTACTACGAGTGAACTTATGTTCACGAAGACGACGAAGAGGAAATGTAGTAGACTCTGAAACGCCGCTATTGTCCCCTCCTTCGTCGACCACGTCGTTACTTTCGTTTAACTTGACTACGAACGGGTACAGCACGCACTTCATTACTCTTGCCGGATTTCTGGCTCTCTTGGCGCCGTTGTTGGGTCTTTTGGAGATTTACGAATTACCTTGGGATATTGGCCGTATGCTAGGATGGTCTGGCGTGTTTTTGATCATTTTTGGGTATTCGTTTCGTATGTATTCTCTGAGAGATAAGTGGTCAACGAGGACCGTTGTAGTGGCAGATGGTCTAATGGTTATTGGTACCGGTAAGTATTTTTTTTTTTCTTCTTTTAATAATCAATACAATGCTTGGTATCATGTGATTTATGATTGAATTTCAACACATAGGGCCATATCGTTATATACGACATCCCGCATACACTGGCCAGATCATTGCATGGCTGGGATTCGCACTAAGTTCAGGAAATCTACTGGTCATCTTTACCATCATGAGCATGATCTGCCTAGCGTACTGGAATCAAATACGCGTTGAGGAAGAGATAATGGTTGAGAAATTTGGGGATGAATATCGTGAATATCAACGGTCTACTAAGAAATTGATTCCGTTTATTTATTGAGATAATTCGTCCATTTAAAACTTTTATACATAAGTAATATACACAATATAAGTATAGAAATTTTTTTAGTATTTAATATAATTTTTTCTTCATTATGAGAACATTACAAATCAATATTAATTAATGATAATGATAAAATTATTAAATTGATCCCCTTTAACGATAATACTTTTCGTTGTTATTTCCATTTTTGTTTCTCTCTTTTTTTTTATTATCGATTCTTTCTGCAAAGTTGAGATTTTTTGATTTACAACAAATATACACAAAGAAAAACCAATTATTAGATACAGATAGATGGAAGGATGATAGAGACATATAAAAATTATATTGATCGTATTGGTGATGTTGATAATAAGAAATACAAATAATAATAATAAAAGTCATCTGATATTTTGCAGTCCGTGGCTTAACAACTCATCTTTTACCTTTCGCAGCACGTGGCTTGACATCTTCATCTTTCACAGCGTGCAGAAAGATTGCATCTTTTATTTGTTGCGTTGAGTAGGATGGTTGTTGATAACCCTAAATAAATCCACAATTTTTAATTCCGATTAAAAAATCAATCATCTCATAAATTTCTCGTAAACAAACATGATCAACTGTGATCTCTCATTCATTATTAGTTACCTTACTCCAATCATATCCAGCAGCATACGCAAAAATTGACCCATTCCGATTAAATGTTGTCGACACAATCGGACAACCGATGCTCGTGAATCCTTTAAGTCGTTGTTTGGAGTCCTTGTCCCAGAAATTGAAGGTTCCGTCGCTGCCGGCTGTCGAGAACGTTCCGTGAAGTGGGTGGAACGAGATTGCGTTCACCGCATAAACGTTTACATTATTTTCACGGTGGCATTTGAATGAGAAACTTGTTGTTCTGTATTAAACAATAATTATTGTCCGTCATTACACGAATTCTCTTAACTAACCATCCAATATAATCCCGTCAATTTAATTCTCACGTATTACTAATAACTTTCACTTACTGATTATCTTTTTCATCTAAATACTGTATTCCCACCCTCCCCTCGATACTTCCGATCGCGTATCCATTTGCAGCATTAAAGCACGCTACTGTGCGTGTTTGCCATTTTAGTGGACTTTGTGATTGCTATATTTTATTTATAATTATGAGAAAATGATGAATGGCTCTGAAATCCGATCTCAAAAAAAAAATGAATCAGCCAAACCAACCTTAAACACTGTACCAGGATTTCGCATATCGTAAATCATGACGTGTCGTTCAGCAGTAGCCACCACCATTAACGGGAAAATAAGATCCATGGCATAACATCGTTCGGGAAGGTTAACACTTAGAACTGGTTGTGGTGTGCGTAGATCCCAATACTATTTAATATTCATATCATTGTCATTTAAATTTATGAATGTAAATAATACAAACAGTAAACTAGAGCGAGAATTCCATAAAAAAGAAAAGGAAAGATTGAAAAAATATACGCACTTTTAATGTTTTATCCCAACTTCCAGTCGCGACAACAGGCGTGGTACCACTGTCCACCCATTTTATACATTTAATCGGCGCGTCATGTTGCGCGATTTGCATTGCTTGCCCGGTCGCCGTGTCAAACATACGACCGGCTTTATCAGCACCGCCTGAAAATACTTTCGACCCATCCTAATTTAAAAATAATTCCCGTATAGAAACATGAATTATTCGCGATTAAAAAAGTTTCAGAGAAAAAAAGGAATTCACAAACCTTGCTCCATGTACAACATAGTGCCGGACCCTCATGTGGATATAGAGCTTTGCCAACAGCGGATCCTGTAGTCTGGTTAACCTCGTATATTCTAACCTTCATGTTATTTAATTAATTATTTTGCAATCTTTTGATTTGTCTCGTTAAACTACGCGTATCATGCAGATTTAATAACTTCGAGTGCATCCTCTTACCTGATTATCCCATGACGAAACTGCCAAGTAGTCAGCTATTGGTGAAAATGATAGTTGCGTTATTCCATCAGTTGGTGGTGTCGGAATCTTACATATACGCATGAAACGGAAAGAAATATGAGGAAAAAGATGTAAAAAAAAACTGTAGCGAGAAATAAGATGCTTATTTATTACTTTACCGCATAGTCTTTAGGCGTTTCGTTAGTAGGGATTAAATTCCTGTTGAAAGCAGACATTATTATTTTTGATATCCTAGGGGTAAAGTGAAACTGATGGTTCTATAGACTACTATTATTCTAAGAGTTTCCTGGAAATTCTTGATCAACTGAAAAATTTGTAAATTTGAAAATTCGAAGACGCGGTTTAGGACAACGACGCAGCACACACACTTCCCAATTAAAAAAACCGGATATTTTATTGAAAATCCGATATCGATATAGATGCAATAATCCCGTGAACGCCTAAACCTGGGTTTCGATGAGCAAAACACGGGAAACAGATAGGAGCTCTATCAAAAGTATCGGTGAGAATCCCAAACCTTAATCATAACCCCAAAAGTCTCCAACGCACATGATACGTGCAATCTTATTGGGTTCAGTTCTAACGACGCAGAAATACGCAGTACGCAGTACATATCGAATCTTCCATTCCAGTTAAAAAACCTGTTTTTCCAAAATTGCTAGTCCTTATTCGGATCGATCCATTGTCCCCGGCAAACGAGTTTTGCGATTATGCAGGGAATCTGCATGCTTTGCACAGACAGATGGTTGCTGAAAAAGGAAACAGGAGTAGTGGGATATTGGATATTCGTAAACCTTTTTTATATATAATCTTTTGTAATTATTTTTTTCCTTATTAACGGTTTTTTTTCGAATTCGCACATTTCGCAAACCTATTAATTGGAAAAATGAGTTGCTTACTTTGGACCTTGGACTATATTAGAGATCATGAAAACGCTTCCAATGAAGAAGCCATTGAAGGTGTTTATTATTTTTTTATTTTCGTGCATATTTCCGCAGTAAAGAGATAATTACTCTAAGCTTACTTATTGATTTTTTATCACCTACTTATACCCAAAAAAGCAACTATGCAAAAGCTAACGTCAATAAATTCACATGCACCCACTACAGCAACAGCATCAACAACCGGTTGTTCATGCTTCATTCTACGACACAACATATATAAACACCCAGGAGAAGCGCACGAAACGCTATCCTTATTACCCCGTCTATTATTAGACGTGGAAAAAACCCGACGAAAAATAGCACAAGATTGCTTAGTACGCATTTTCCAAAAGGATGTTGTTAATAACACGGTGGTGTACGCACAGGAGGAAAACGGACAAATGATAGAGTTATTCGAGTATTTAATGAGTGCATTAAAATATGAGGCATGTATTAGTTAATTGATTTATTTTCGTGTCTTTTTTGTAAAAGGTGTACTTGTAATAGAGTGCTAAACGAAAGATTGCTGGAATTTTCTCATAAATACAATAACGATGTTGATAATAGCAATCATAATGGTTGGCATATATTGTCTTCCTCATAATTTATTATTATTGTTATTATAACGCTCAAACTTTTTTTGACTGGAATTTGTTAGTTGTTGATTCCTCTATTTGTTTGATACGTTAGACAGAAAGATGTATACAAATATGATACGAGAAAAGCAAAATTTGGTGAAAAATAGGTTGTAGGAAAACGCGTGAATCAAAGAAAAGTGTCTTATTCCCGGAACTTCAAATACGCAAAATAAACAAATAGATCCTGATACAAACGATGAAAGCGGACCTAAGCCCAATAGATTGGCTCGGCACGCTTAACGACCTGTTTCCCATCATACCGAACGCCAATACTCGACTACTGGAACAAGAAAACCTTCAATACCCATTACACCGTTTCCATTTACTACGACCTCATTTCATACAGCTATTCTCAACTGTCGAAGATTTTGTGGCGTCACAGCTCGGTAGGCGAGCGAACAGGTCGAAGTCCGTGAGGTAAAAATTGCATCTTCTATTTTCCATTATTATCTTTCCATCGTTCTCGATTTTTGAATATCAAAAGAAAGCTCGATCTTTAACAGATTCTCTTATTAATGATGTCGTAATTATTGTAAAAGGTTAGAGGATTGTCCGGAATTCATAGAAGCGACCAAGGTAGTAAATTACGAAAAGGTTTGTTCATTATTAATAGAATATCTGGATCGGTATCACGATCATATAAAAGAAATGTCCGAATATGTGAATCCGTTATTCGAAGAGTTAAATAAACAAAAAGTATCCGAAATAATGTCTTTATTAGATCAGGTAAAATCAATTCATACTATTTCAATTAACCTTCGTAATTCTTACAATCTATATATATATAACGTGTACTATTATGTTGTGTCTGTACAGGTGTCTAATTTTTGTACTAATCGAGATCAAGAAGAGGATAATGAATAAATATTTCTTTATTTTTCTTTTGGCTCGTGTGTTTAATTGATTAAATTAATAGATTTTAATTAATAAAATTTTTGTTTATATTTCTTAATTCTTCAAAAGTTCGTGCCTTTTGAGCTTATTATTGATTTCGTTGTTCAGTATTAATCATAATTTTATGTAGATAAAAAAAGTATAGTACACAAATAAGTTAAAGAAAAATTATAGTCAATTAATTCAAAAAAGTTCATTTCTCAATGATTATCCACTTGACTCCTCCCGCTCATACCGAATTATTGTTGTTGCTATTGCTTGTGGTATTTTGAGGTACATTATTGTTATTGTTGGTGTTATTATCCTTACTTGCTTCCTTCAGTAAGAATGATATCCACATATCCGAAAAAGACTACATATTTGATGTAATACGGTAAAAATAATAATTTAATACAAATTTAACAAAATAACAGATTAGACTTACCTCTTTTGGGGCATCCTCATTTACCGGCAACAGCAGATTACTATTACTTCTAGGTACTTCCTCAGACTTTCGAATAAGTGGCCGTTCCGACGTCGGCGTCCATAAACCAGATACCCATCCACTGGGCCGATCTTCAGGACTTAGACGCGACGACGGTGCCGATGATTTTCGAATCAGTCCGACCTGTTCTTTTTGCTCGTCGGTCCATTGCAGCATGCTTGACATTAGTTGTAGTATCTCAAATCGTTTGCTGTCTCCACGTGGTGTATTGAAAAATGTTATTAAGAGATTGGTGATAAGTCGTCTATAATAATTAAAACAAAAATGTTGATTGTTAGTGATTTGATAAATAGTCATTCAGAGTCGCATTATTTAACGTCTCTTTATTTCCATATAATCAAATTAACTATTCTCGAAAAACTGGTATATATCATTCCAATTTCTCAAAGAGATTATTTGTCAATTATTTCCATTCCTCCCAAATGCTGCATTCATTCGGACGTTAAACGACGACTCATATCCAATGTCCAATAAATAATAGACTAACTTGTCAACATTATTATCGCTGCTTTCCTCTCTCATCCGGCGCATAGCTTCAGTCAGATGTTCATTTAATATCACAGCTATAGTAATATTATGCGTGTATATATATATATATAATAAGTATGTGATGTAGATCAACTATTATAAATTTTTCTTATTTCCCATGCAATCTACCTTCGT